TCTCTTTGTTTTCATTTGCATTTTGTCATATACGATACGATATGTTACAAAGTGATCCAGAAAAGTGTGTACTTATAATGGGAAATTTATATGAAGGCGAGTAAACCAGTGGATAATATATTTTTACTTACTACGAATAGTCAAGATTAGATAAAACAAATCAGAAAAAAATTTAATTGATTCAGTGGGCACAAGGGATAATATTTGAATCCGTTTTAACAATCGGAAGACCAAAATATATATGTAACGTTAAACGCCGAAGAGACATTCATTTATTTGAACATTGTACTTTCTTAAATGGTTACGTCAATTAAGCTACGAAAATGTGTAGTACTTCAATCCGACCATTTCCAAGACAAGTAGTGTTCATGATCAAGGAGGGATAGTTGTGTTGGATAGTTTGACTTCTCTACTATGCATTGGCTACTCATTCACCAAATGAGATATCTACAAATACACCTTAGAAACATTTAAGAGAGTCATAAACGAAATTAACCTGGAATTTCAAGCAATATAAACTCCATACTTACAAGAGTGATTGTGTACAAGAAACTGCAAGAAAATATATGTATTGTAAGGAATGCTTTTGCCCTTTTACAGTCATTAGCGTCACCGCAATACAATCTATGATTTAAGAGAAAAAACGGCTAAAAGATATATTAAAGCAGAGCCAAAACCACTAACGATTGATGCGTTAAATTTGTCCAAGACCCTGCCGATCGTTTCATAGTGTTGAAAGTTGTTCATAGTAAGTGCAATTGTATGCTGTTGCCAAACGTACAATCTTAGTGAAAAGAGTTTCCGGTCAGATAAAATATTACTCGCACAACTTTTCTTGAACGATGGATAGAGTGGGGGTATTAGTTACGGAATCGGCCACTAGATTTTATGACGCAATGCCAATCTCTGGAGAATCAGTCATGCCTTCGCGACTTTCTCAATAATTTGCGTTCTGACTTTCTCAGGAGTTCGAGGTATCTCCTGTGATGTTTCTTCACCTGCTTTGGTCATTTATTTAAATTTTTTGGAGAAAATCACGGTCAGACGTTCTCGCCTTCAACGGAAAATAGTTTCTATTTCGTGCCAGTGAAGGTGTGTTTGGAATGTTGTCATCACTGCACGCTACGATCTTTTGTCTTCAACTGTTTATTGTGTCAGAGAGGGGGAAATAAGGTCATCGTTCAAGAAACGTTACGCAAGTAATACCTGCATCAGAAATTATTAAGGTTTGTTTTCGGACTGTCAAGCGCTTATGTTCCTTTCGAGTCATTGACCTGCACGGCCAAGACCATTGTTCACGCAAAACACACTAGTGCCTTCGGTGAAGCACACGGTGATGTTTACATTCCATCAGCAACGCAGTTATACATGGGCTGTAATAACTCTCATCCGATTGAGTCAGCACCTGTTGATGTCATGGAAACAGAGACACTGTTAAACTGTCTTTCACGAAGTAAAATATGAAGTAGAAGAGAAGATTACATCACGAACTAAATTTAGAAAATATTACAGATTTGATAAACTTACAGAACCAAATAATTTTCAAATTTCTTTAATATTTCCCACATCAAACTACTTTTAATCTCGACAGTCATACACATTTCCACACAGAATTAAAGACTGATTCCCCAAAGTACGATTCAGACCTCCATAGATTTATTCCTTTCGCTGTCACTTACACTCTACAATACACAACCAACACACTACTTTCTCTCTTTTCCACGCTTTCACAATATTAAATACTCGTATAATCATAACTAATAATAACTAATCATAACTAACAATATTTATTCTCATTAAAATAAAATATCTAGAAATGTAAGTAATATAAGTACAGGGTAAGTAAGGATAGAGAGGGGTAATAACATTCCTGTTAGGAAATAACAAATTTCCGTCTTCTTTTGTAGGACAATTATACAAGTAAAACTCAGTATACCTATTTTCTGCATATCATTTAATTGCAGAACAGCGCGACCCTTTAAACACGCCCATTTTTATTAATGTAATAATTGGAAAACTATAAGAATTCAGTTGGTATATATCGAATTTGTTCCCATATATGTCAAATGTAAGGTTAAAATGTTGGTTCGAAGTAATCTTACGTGTTATTTTATGACTTGCCCTTGAAATCCTAGAAATATAACACTACAAAATCAAGAAACAATAAGAATTTTCTTTAACGTTTTTAACCAGATCTTAATAAACGCAGTTTCACAAAAATTCCCTACACTTGAGTAGCATCTAGCCGTAGTTTAACTTGAGCTCCGCGAGGAACCCTAAATGTAGGCGCGCTCATTCCTAACTAGCTAAAACAACAGACTGAGCTGCGCTACAGTATAAATAGGTATACTGTGATATTATCTATGATGAATATATACACAGGTATATAGACAGGTCAAATAAGGTATATAGACAGGACAAATATGTAGACAGGTCGAGTTAGATCGGTTTGAACTGCGTAGAGAGTGAGAAGCTATCCATATCAGGCATTTTTTAAAGGAAGTCATTAAGGAATATTACTAGCCCTAAGGAAATATTAAAATATAATTGCGTTTTTGAATAATGATATATACATTATGTACATTTGACCTAAGAAAAATATCGATGAAATTTTATCTCTCCAACCGTGCAGGCATTTTTGGAAAACCTTCGTTCCGCGAGAGATACACGTTGACCAATTGTTAGCACTAACCTGAATCTTCGTGGCTATGTGATTGACGCAAAATTCTGAAGGGTGGGAATGCCGCTAACCAGAGGGTGCGGCCTCGTTTGTTTCAGTAAGAGACGGAAAAACCATCTTCTCTCGCTATTGATAAACAAATTACTTTTTTTGCTAAAAAGAGTATTTTTAAAAGATCCACTGCGGATTCAATTGTACAAAGAAACCCTACCCATACTGTTAAGTGTTATTGTGATTGTTGTAATGATACTAAAAAAAGTTATTTTAGAATTGGCTAACAATTCGTATGAAGCTCTGAAATAATGTTAGAATTTAATTACTTCAGAAGAAGATACATGAGCACAATAGTTTTTATTAAAACTCACTATAGCTTTATTCTTGCAACAATTTTTCTTTTGCTGATTCAATATTCTTAATTAACGAATTTGAAAAACTGTGAATCAGCCAAAGGTTGATCAGCCAAAGGTCAACTGATTGAATTGTGTACAAAAAGTGTCGTTGACAAAAAAGGGATATTTGCTATAAAAGGATATTTCCATGGTTCTTTCAGGAGAATCTGGTCTAAATAGGGACTAAATGTGTCACTTTCTTTAATGGCGCGATTTAAAATATTGCCCTATATCATTGAGAGATGTTAAAATTACATTTTCAGTTTACAAACATGTTAAAATTTTTTGCAAATACTACTGTCTGATGAAGACATTTACACCGTGTATCATCACCTATCACATACCATAAAATGTAATATTTAATAATAAATGCAAGAGTGATTTTCAGAAAATGTGACGGTTGGCCTTCTGAATGAATTTATCTTCTGTCCTCACATCTTACCCGAGCATTTAAGACGCGTTCATTATCTGAATTTTATACCTCAGGAACTCCCACCACTTTTGGAGCTGGGGGTTAATGAAAGACCGCGTTTATGCTACCGAAGTCGACTATCGACTGATGACCTTCGGCGCATTGAAAGCATGGAGGCAAAAATCAAGGTACAACCTGGCAAAGTTGCACACGTCACAGAGGCCGTGTGGCAGAAGGCGCGCGTATCTTTTGTTCATTCAAGAGGAGTCCCTGTTCAACGATGTGAAAATGCGAAGTTCTGGCTGAATACGCATAAATGATAAACTGTCTTAAATAACACTTAAACTGTAGTTTTCTCACTCCTTTCATATTCGTTAGATAACTAAGCAATAATATAGTGTAACGAATCATCAACCGGCGCCCCCACAAATTGAGGGTTCCTGGCTACTCGTGGATCGTGTAGAAGTGTGGCGCAAGTTCCGGAAAGGACCAGGTGGGCGCCAGCCAGATATAAAGTCGCTGCTAACGGTGGTCGTTAGCCACTTTGAGTGTGCATCGCGGTGCACAGCGGTGCAGTACGATGGTGTAAGCGCGCGGCGATGGTGTAACGGTTAGCGTATCGGACTGTTATACCCAAGTTGGCGGGTTCAAATCCGAAGGAAGCCGTGGATTTTTAAGGTCGAAAAAAGTCCTTCGAACTCCTTCCTTCGGAGGGGCAGTAAAGCCGGCTGTCCCATGCTAGTAGATTGCATATAAAAGATAAAGCCTAAATGACGCATCTGAGCTAAATTAAAATCGCCTGTTTCTCGCCCAAGAAATACCTCCTTTCTCTGCTAGTTGGTGAAAGGAACGTAGCGAAATTTGAATGGTCAGACGGAAGAGCGGGTCTGATGGATCGAGTCTTGCCACGTAAAATAATGCCGGCCATTAATTAATTAAAATAATGTTGACCGAGTCTCGCCACGTAAGCAGTTCAAATTCAATTCAGTCGGTGAAAAGCAGTGCAGTGGACTGTGGCCAGCGCAATGGACTTGGGTCAGTGCATTGGACGCTGGTGTGAGCATCGGACTGTATGACAGTGTCGATGAAGTGAACAGTAAAAATAAGTAATCAAGAGTGTAAAGAAATATCCAAGTGAATAACACAAAGACTGTGAAGTCAATCTGTATATAAATCAAGTGATTTTAGTGTATCGATATGAAAGAAAATAAGTCTTTCTTAAAATACCATATGCACTTTAATTCACCACTAACGTTACAATAGCAACATGGAACAATATGTAAAGATATATTTGGACTACCTTTTTTGCAACATATGATCAATGACACAATAGCTTTCACATTATTTTCTTTTGTACTCATGAATAACTTAGTGTACTTTATCACCGTCTCCTATAAGAGCAACGAGGACTAACTCACCTTGTATGCACAATTAGCTAATCAACGTCTTAACTGTGTTCTTATAGATAAATTCAATTAAGACATTACTTAAAATATTTAATGGGTTCATAATATTTTCCATGCAGGAAGCGCAAGAGGCTGGTGGGAATTTTGACGATGAAGATCCTACTACGAAAGCATGGTTGGATTGCTTGAGAGAATCAGGTATAGATCCAGGTAAGCAACAAAAGAATTCCTTGAATAGTTTTTTATATTGGTCATTACGTACGTGGACATAGTTACGAGTATAAATTATTTCTTTCAAATATTCTATAAATGTGCACGGTTTCATTCAAAAGAAGAGACAACTTCTTATTTGTAAAAAAATAAACATGAAATTGTAATGCGATAATGTTTACAATTCAATGGCGTATTTAAAACGTTCTCTTGCTACAATAATGAAAGTGTAGGAGACGACTAATTACACTACCAGATCAGGTTAAGAATATAGTGAAACCTCGGCGCGTGAAAGCAAGGTAATCAAAATTCGTCATCTGGCCTCGTAACCCATTCCTAATGCCACGGAGCGACCAACTAGGTGGGAAATTAATACTTTGATAGTCGGCGCCAGGAAAATGTATTATCAAGACCACTTTCGAGAAAAGGTTTAAGTATGGAGTAAAGTTTCGTAAACATCCGATGTCTAGTTATAATAGACATTTTTGGTTTAAAGAAAGATTCTCTCTATTAAGCGAACACTTCTCAAACACTTTTTTCTAAAAAAATAACAGCGGTCACTTAATGTAGACTTCATTGTACGAATGCTCTCTTCCCAAGAAAGTGTGTCCGTGAATGAATGCACACCGCTATTCTAGGGCTAAAAAATATTATTGAGATATGAAACATAAAACAACAAATGAAGTGCATTGCCCGCCATATTTTTAGTGCCTTTTTATAGCATACGATATTCGCACGCATTTATACTTATATTACATAACTAAATTCGTCAAATCTCGGTAAAATATATACGAAAATGGTGCGTTTTTGCCAAAACTGCGTAATTTCATAAATTATTCTGTTGTAATACTTCATGTTTCAGTGCAACTTCAGAAAATGGAAAAGCAGCAAATACCTGATGATACGCGGGAAACAAGGGTGAGAATTTATTCATTATTTTTTTAACTTCATGTGGCTCAATCCTCTAAAATTATTTTAATTTAATTTTCTTCAATTTTGCAAATCCCAGATTAACAAAATTAAAAAAATATTTTTTAACTTCATGTGGCTCAATCCTTTAAAATTATTTTTAAATTTTATTTTAATTTTGCAAATCCCAGATTAAGAAAATAAAGAAATATTTTTTAACTTCATGTGGTTCAATCCTCTAAAATTATTTTAATTTTATTTTATTTCAATTTTGCAAATCCCAGATAAAGAAAATAAAGAAATATTTTTTTAACTTGATGTGGCTCAATCCTCTAAGTTTAGAGCTTAAGTTATATTACATCCATTTTTAGTGAAAAAATTTCAGATCAATGAGGGCAATGCTCACAGATCTATACCTTTATTTTTTTATTTCTTAGGTCGTTATTAGATATATGAAAAGGCCCAGTATTACGTGACTAGGCAGGTGGATTTCATTTAGTTAGAAATGCTGCTTTCTAATGTATCCTGGTACATTGATTGACCATTACAACACCTGTATCCTATGGTATTCGAATTTTAGTATTTACAAATATGTCCATATGGGCCATATGTCTCTCTATCGTAACAAACACACGGAAAAGTGAGCATTTCATAAGGCTAAGGAAAACACACCTGAAAGAGAAAAGTGTCGTCAGAAGATGCGTACATGATATGGTTGCATAGGCTTCCGCTGCCGGAGTTTGTGATATCTAGACCGTGTCATGTGGCAGCAGTTGGCTCTGAAGGAGGTCACAATACGCAGAGCGAAACGTTAGCCGCCATGTCAGTGACGCCGCTCGCTCCGAATAGCCTAGATAATACACACATACCAAGATAACCTACCAAATTCTTTTTAAACTATTTATTTTCAGGCCTAGTCGTCACGAATTCTCCTCCCCGACTTTGGCATAATTGCACATGAAATGCCACACCAAGAAAATCGTCCTCGATCTCGCCTCTGCTCTTACTTCTTGTTGTTTCTGTTCTTGTTCTTTACTCACCATTGCCATTTACCTTATAATGTGCTCATTTATAGATTTATGAAGAATATTTTAGCCCCATAATACAAGGTATTTACATAGTATATCTAATAATGACCTAAAAAATAAAAACAAATAAAAGTTTATATCTGAGAGCATTACCTTCATTGATACCAAATGTGTTTGCTAAAAATAAATATATAAAATGAAATAAATTGTTATAAAAACACATAGTCTGTTTTATTAAGGTCAAGAAAATTACAATTAAATGTATAGGTTTAGTTATTGTTGGCATTACAAATATGGCACTGCTTAAAAAGTTTGTCCGAGTGTGAGGTCTTGTGGATTTGCAAGAAATATTTTGGCCAAAATATACATTGACATTTGTTTTGATTAAATTTCTGCTCTATTAAGACTTCTAGAGCAGAACAGTTGTACAGAGACCTTAAATAAATACGTAATACAAATACTAGTTAAAATCACAACTTAACAGTTTTCGCAGTACAACATTATACAGATAAGTAAGGGTAATTTCACAAAAATGTTACTTGGTTTTTTCAAAGAGAGCTCCCAAAGTTTGAATGATAATAACAGCTATCGAACGTTTTTAAAGTAAAAGTGGATTGTAAATTGAACATCCAAAACTTTCCCGCATGTTTAAATGGATGCGTACAGATTAGCTTATAAACCAGGTGTCTTAATATTTAAATATTATATATGACACTTAACACTTATAATTATTGACACTTTTAGTAGTTGATACTTTTAATGCTAATATTTTAACACAAATTAAACAATTGAAATCTTAGTTCTATCCCGAGATGATATTTCTGCGACAATGCTTCAAATGTTGACTAAGAATTGAAGTTAGGTATATTTCAACTTGAGAGTCGGCCAAAATCACGACTGTAAATACAATTATTACTTATTTCTTCGTATTACATATTACTCCGTATATACGTATGTATACGGTAAAGTAACAATGATAGGTATACCCGTACCTCAAGTTTTTTGGGGAGAATAGAAATCTGCAAAACAGGAACAATATGGATATATATCCTCGCCGTAATAATATAAACATTATTTTAAAATATAAACATTAGATGAAAATAAGAATATTTATGTAGCACGAAGAAATTTTAATAAAACTAGCGATAATAAGCAACACATGCTTCCTCCCATTATTTCTGAATTTGCAATTTTAGAAATTTCAGAGTTCTACAAAAATGCGGCCTGCGCTATTTTTTAAAGGTCCCTTGCTTCATTTGTGAAAAAAATTAAAACGTATTTTGAGAAAATACTTTTTACATTAATTTCGAAAATTAAGTGAAAATGAAACGTTTTCTCAAACAAACAAAATTGATCTTTTTTAAACAGCTGAATGTTTTAGAGCAGGTTTTATTGACGGCCGAAATCAATCTTCAACTTTCCGGTTTGGAAATGTTAACTGTTTGCAATTTTCGAAAATTATGAATGCCATGTATTATAAAAAAGAAATGGCTTTCTTGTTAATGCGGTATTAGCATTTCCGGTCGTATTCGCTTTTTGTATTTTTATTGAGTCGAAGAAGATTGGACGTATTGGACGAATGGACAAAAAAAATCTATGACAGTGTCCGTATTTGTATTCAGGTAAGTATACAATGTGATTTTAATTAAATAAACAAAAAATATGGTTACACACTTCTCAATTTAACTACGAGGTATTTGTTTATTTTTCAGAAACTGATGTGCTGTGTAATGAAGAGGAAAGGCGTAGTAAGTAAACGCTCTTCAAAATATATTGGTGAAAAAGGTACATCAAAGGAATATGCAGAACAATCAAGGACATTGAATACAGAATGTACTCCAATAGCAACTGTTCAAAAAGTGTTTCCTGTCAGAGTATGTTTGGGGGTCGGGGCACTGAATCCTAAGCTTTAATTGGCCAGTTAAATTGGTGTTGTTCAAAGCTCAATCATTAAAGTTTAATCAGGTTAATTTTCTAGTATTTTTAAATAAATGTCAAAGATTATAGTAGTAAAAGTGTTTTCTTGGGGAGCACAGTCGGTTTAGTTTGATGAAAGAGCCATTATAATGTTCAACATTAGCTTCATGAAATTTTACCTACAAAGCATTTTGATGCTGATAACAAGGCAGCTGATAGCTTCAGGTACGAAATCCTTCCAAAATACAAACTTCATTTTGTTTGGATACAGTGAGGGATTAATGTTTTAGCAAGCGCAGTTGATCGAAAATTCAATTAATAGTATGTGCGACGAACAACTGATTAATGTAGATGAAAGTATTTAGGAAGATCGCTGCTACAAAAGCTTCTCCTTTTCCTATCCTCGCCCCTTACTTACACCCACACTCACACGCACTTTACTACGACACGCGTCGCGAGCGTGGTGTGAGTCACGGTTGGGACGGTGGTGGGAGATACCTGGTTGTGCAAACCCCAGCAAGCAGATTGGTTGGTCGGTGACGGCTCTCGCCACCCAGCGGAGGCATATCTCCGCCCCCTCCCACAATAAAACCTGCGGGAACTACACTTAAGGGACCAATGATCTTGGCACTTGACGCGCTATGTATCACCAACCAAATCCAACATACACTCAATTCCATATGAAAAGCCTCTGCCGAAGAAACAGCAATGCCCCTCAGTCGAGATATCCGCAGTGGAATGGTTGTTCGCAATGAAGACATTGAAACCCCCTATGTTTGCCCCCTATGTTTGCCTTTGCTTGCGTTTACCGAAGTATTGGGTTGAAACTTGACATTGCAACGCGAATCAACTTGTCTGCTCAGGGTGTTCCGTGACATCAAATTAATTATTAATATAAACTGCTGAGTGGAGTGAATTCATATTTGTAATATTCCCATGTTCGGTTTATTGCAGTTCAATGAGAGAGGCGAAGTCAAGGCTGACGTTTGCGAAATTATCATAACCGATTTAAAGAATCGTATGGAGAGTTTAGGCCGTAAAGCTGAAGGACTAAAAAGTTGCTGCAAACCAGGTAAGTACTTTCATAATTACATGCCCCTGATTTTTTAGTATTTTTATAACCAATTACACCCTTACTAACGTGTCTATCATTTTCATTCGAATATACGAATCACTTAAATGTGCATTAAGATCAGTACAAACTGAAGTGGTCGGAGAAAAGGTTTTTTTACCTTGTAGTATTCGCAGATTTATATGAACACTTCAGCATCGTCTCACTTTTAGCACTAGTGATAAAAATTGAACTTGAGAACGCTAGGCATGCCCTGAAAGAACCTATCTTACAAATGGATGTGGAAGTATTTCAAGATGTATAAGCCTTGCAGCATTGTTTCAGGGTGAACACTTTTTATAAAGTGTCATTCTGACGTACTATTCAATTTTAATTAATCAATAGTTACTTATTTAATTGGTGCATTTCGCCCTGAGGAAGGTCGCAGAGTGGTGAACGAAACGTCGACACCTCTGCCATGAACGCAGCGTCACCCGGACAGCCAATTAAATACTGACTCCGGTCGCGGAATTCAACGCTCTCAATCGTTTCTTACAATAATTTCATTAATACAAAGTGCTCTCTGCGATGAAGTTATGTGAAGGGACTATTGCAAGCGATTACTGAAATATTAGCAGTATATAATAAGTTAAGAAATAATTTTACATAATCGTAACTAATAATTCAAGGAAATATGTATTTTGTTGTAGAACTATTAACTCATTTTATTTCAGCTTTTTAATTTTTTGTGATCATAATAAATGATATAATTGGTTAAGCGTTTTAATTCATTGACTATGCGTTAAAATTGGCTTTGTGTTCCACACATTATGTAAACAAGTAATATTCAGCAATTGCTTGAAATGCGAGAGAAAACACATCAAACATGTTTTCCCTAGCCTTCGTAGAAATGTAAAGAAGGTTCCTGGCATAACGTGTACTTGAAACTTATGGCATAAAAATCTAATTCAATTGAAATGTAATACGTTTTGTCTCTCAATAAACAGATGGTGCGGATTGTGGCAAGAAGGCACTGAACATGCTAAAATGCTTCATAGACGAGGCACAGGAATGAAGTAAGTATGCCTTTCTTTATAACATCATTTTCCAAAATTGGTGAATTATACTCCCCGGTTAATCGAACATGAAACGAAAATATGAAAAAGTCTCATTTTCTGAAAGCAGTATTCAGTTATCATCTGAGGACAAACAATTAAATAAGATTATCGCTCAAGAATTGAACAAAACCTGACTTCTCTACGGGCTCAGTGCATGTACTGATGTCATTGCAGTGCCTCTGACCGGTACTCCTGGGGGCTCTAGTCCCCACGGTGGGTTTTCTACACTAGTTTGTCAGCTAGGACGAAGTCAGCCGCAGTTTGATGGAGAATTTTAGCGGCCAGCTGCCCTGATCGGTGATTTTCCGTGGTTTCTCAGTTCAAAACCATGTGAATGCTCGAACAAACGGGCCAAGGGCCGCGCGCGATCTTTCCTTCCTCTTCCTGTTCCTCGCCTCCCTTACACACACTTACATGCTCTACACTACCATACATGTCGGGAGCCAAGAGCATGTGTCGGTTGGGACGGCGCTACGCTGCCCTGGTGGGATGTACCTGGCTGGGGAAAACACCTGCACGCCGAGGGTGTATGTCGGAGCCGGATCTCGCGAAGCCAGCAGGGGACTATCACAGCCTCCTCCCGCGACAAAAACATGATCTAAACTTACGGGACTAGTGAAATCAGCAGTTTTTTTGGCCCGGAATCTCTAATCAAACACTGAATCAATCCACTTCTCATTCTGTCTTTCTAGACGATAATGAAGTGTTTTTAGCACACCCCTGCAAATGTATTCAGAAGTTTTTAATTATTATTATTATCTTCCTTTATTCACAATGTCTACTGTTCGGCATGTCCACCACATATAGGAATGATGACCAGGTGTGTGGTTGCTTTACTGAAGGTTCAGATGGCTTCTGACAAAACGGCAAGTATTTAAAATTATTGACTTTTGCGTATTATATACATTCTTGGCATACAAGTGAAGAATTTCCAGTGCCCGAAGTGTCATTTTCGGCATTACTCTTGTAGCTGATATTATTATAGGCACAGTTGTCACTTTACTAAAGTTCCACTGAGTTGCGACTTCATGGGCGAGATCGGTATACTTTTGGATCTTCTCTTGATATTTTCCCGATATGTTGTGAGTATTGGGTATCGGTAAGGAAAGCCTGATGGTTTCTGTCAATGTAAGTTACATCGGGTGTATTGCCGCCGACATGTCTGTCAGTGATAATGGAACATCCCAGTAGAGTGTGTGCTCACAATTTCAAGCACATTCTGAGGCACATATTTATAATGCGGCACGGAAGTGACGAGTAAGCCCGTTCTCAACGCCAATAATTGGTGTACCTGCTTCGCCACTTCAATCATGCCCGTCTTTTTGTATTCCCAACTGTGGCGTGGCTGCTACAAGTCACTGTGTCACGTGTTTGGATAGTTTCGCTTGCATGGCTCACAATTCTTCTACCACGAGTCGGAAATGGACTGGTAAAAATATCTCAAGAATGTGTTTTCTGTAGTTCAAATGTTGCGCATTCACTTGGTCTCTGAATGCTGTGCATGAAGGTTTTCTGGTCTCCGGAAAGAGATTCCGTGCTGGACCATGCCGTGCGACGCAGAGATGTTGACTCCTGGTTTACTCAGCTCATGGGGCGTACCTTCCCATGCAGTGCCATTCTGCTTTCCCATAATGGTTGATCTTTCTCTTCCGTTTCAGCGATATTGGTTTGAACAGGGTATCAGTCTTTTTCAAGTTCAGAGGACTATAGTTATTATCAAACTGCGGCTCACTGCTTTGCTGAATCTCTCCCCACAGATGTTCCAAGAATACCTCTGAGTGTGGCAATTTTATAGAGTTGTGTAGATTTCAGAGATGTACAACACCTCACACTGCCTAGTTGATCCTGGGAGGGTAAAACGCTCAGAACTTGGAATGGGGATGAATGTTTTCGATGTGAGTCAAGCGGTTCGAATTGTCCTCTGGAGGTAGTCGATGTCCGGTATTGCTCCATTTGAATAACTCCCAAAGGAGTATGTCAGCACTGAGATAACAAATTTGAATTGATGGCTGCCAGGTTGTAGCAGAGCAGTTTGAGTTTTTTGCTCAGTGTCCATCAATCGTTTACACACTTCAGTTGTTAGTATGTTCTTAGTAACAGTGTGTTTGATTCGGAGTGCCTGTTGGAAACCCAAGTATTTGTTAGTTTCATGGGGTTACATGAAGGTAATCTTTGGATCATTAACATTTTCCAAATTTATAACTTGCATATGACCCCGAGTGATAATATAATAATAATTATAATTTTTATATAATATATAATTATAATTTTTGCAGATGGTTCTGCTTTACTAAAATAAAGATGACAGAGAACGCTGAGACGGCGATGCAACTTCAATTTCACTCTTTCAGAAGAGATAATGTAAACCATACTATAATATAACATAATATTATTCTATATTTTGTTTAGCAAGTTTTTTTATAATATCCTTTCCTTTTAACCCTTTTTAACATTTATAGTAAACGAGATTCAAATCTCGCTCTAACGCGTTCAAATCATCAATGTCATTGACTGCATTCATGGTTCAATGATATCAGCACTTCCTCAAAATAGGGATCGTAACTCATGTGAAAATAAGTAATATTTCAAGACTTTAAACAGGATGTTTGTACTACATTACATTACAACAGGAATTGCTGAAAATCCAGTTTCGCGAAAATAATACGTTGCAAATTGGACTGGAATTCGAAGTCGTATTACTCTTTGTGAGAATTAGGTACAATAAAACCTTTTTTGAGCGATCACCCACAGTTCCAGCGAAAATTTTCTGTTAAGAGAGGTAGTCGCTTAAGAAAGATTACAAGAGCAACAACTCTCGCATGTTAAATTACACCCTCTCCTTCCATTACTATATTAAGTGTTGTTAACGAAAGTTGTTAACGAAACGTATTTGTTTAAAAAATATATAAAGGTAACTTCTAATGTACGTACGGAACATCAAATGAAAATAAAAATAACTATGTAATTGATGATTGAAACAAATTTTCAATAAAGATTTTTTTCAGTATAATAGACAGATGCTTTTGGAACAATTCAAAAAAGTTCCTTAAAAACAATCGAAGTAATTATACAATCTTCCTCGGCAGCTTTTCGCATTCCTTGATAGTCACAAAAAGATTAGAAAACCTTTTTTCTTCTGAGAAATCTCCCACTAAGTTTGCTCATGAGAAAATGCAGGATCGGGCCAGTACAACCCCACTCTTTGCAATATTATTTACCGAACGAAGAAGTACACCCATGCAATTTAATCACTTATAATACCATGTAATTAGTTTAATTTCACACACAGTTGTATTTTCTGTACGTCTCTGAACAGTGATGTGGTATCATATAGAACACAGCTCAGTTTTTTTTGGCTGTGTTGTTGTTATGTGTGTGTGTGTGCGCGCGCGCATACAACTAGCGCTCCTGGAGGACGTAAAGACAGTCGAAGTTAAGGTCACCGTCTGGAATTGAAGCCCACACTTGTGAAGCCAACGCGATTTTGCTTTCCAGAGGGCGTTGCTGAAGTACATTGAATTTTTTCTGAAGCATTTGTATTTTTTAGAACAAGTTAAGTGAAAAATAATTGGCATTGTTTCTTGATATTTTCTTTGTACGAGGTACAGAACTTCTCGAAACAAAATATCAGCCTCACATTTAGTGGAAAAAACTGCTTCACATCTAGCCCTAGCAGAAATAAGTGCGGGGGAATTAAATATGGATTTAGTAGAAATGTATGCCACGTAGAATGTTCTTAGTTTTGTATGAAAGTTATGGAGATGCACCCTTGTGAAAAATACATAAACGTTAAATGATGTCGTACAATACATAAACGTGTTGAGTGGGAACCGAATGGAAGACATGACCAACAAGTTTCAGTTTTAAAAATATTCAAAATAACTTCAAACTTTATATGTTTTTCCAGTTTTAATAAATATCTGTCAAAGTGTGGAGCAGTTCTAATGACAGAATTTGTAAAATTAATTGTTGATCAAAATGTTGCTACTCGGCTATTACACAAAAACTCTCATAAATCAATTTTGCGAGTGGTTGTTGTGATGTGAATAAGATGATTCTGAAAATTTTTATGATAGTAAGTATTTACTGTTTGAAGAAGTTCACCAACAGAGAACTATTTCAGCAAGAAAAAAACAAGACATTTTTAAATTCCACTATTTGGTCTATTAATATTTTATTAGAAAGAAAACAATAAAAAATAGTTAAGCTGTATTTTGAAAATAATTTGTAATACTGTGAAATAAACTATTAACAATTAGGATTACCCTGAGTTTTATATTTCCGTCTAGGTAAATAGTCTCATCTCTCAATAAACCTTTCTACATGCATTCTGAATCTTAATTTGTGTAATTGTTGTTCTTATTTAGATTAGCAGTTTCTAGTATTTTCATAAAAGTAAAGAAATAGTTATTCCTCAAGACATTATTAAATATCAATAGACAACAATAACTGTATTTAACCCGGCGGTTTAACTGTATTTAGATTTCAACTGCCTTATCGGTTAGCCATAGTTCAACATCCACAGTTAATAACTCTAATGCTAAGAAACTAATTAAATTACTAATATTCTACGATTAGTAATATTAAGTTAATTTATAACCGCCTTTTTGTATACTGACACCGCCTGAAATGAACCGCAGGAATGTAAAATTGTAAGATAATGTTCGTTAAATCGACCACGGTGTAGAATCCCCAAAAATACTTTAAATAAAAGTAAAATATATATTCTTCAAGAGGTTAGAAACATTTTTGCCTCCGCGGAGCAATTGTTTAAATAAAAGTTTAAATTAGTACAAGTTCTTATAGAAAAAGTTTCGCGGAATAGTTTTCTTTCATTTATTGAAGAAGTTATACGGTTGATGAATCTTTCTCATTTATTCAATACTCAGTAAATTGTTTTAAGGATCAGATGATATTAAATGGAATTAACATACCTCACAGTGCATTCTGAGAAGTAA